CTGGCCATCTGCAAGCCGCTGCGCTACGGCGTCCTGATGAGCCGTAGAGTCTGCCTGCTCCTGGCTGCGGGGACCTGGCTAGGGGGCGCCCTGCACTCGCTGCTAGAAACCGCGCTCACCTTCCGGCTGCCCTATGGCCTGGACACCCAGGTAGGCTACATCTTCTGCGACATCCCGGCTGTGCTGAAGCTGGCCTGCGGGGACACGTCACTCAATGAGCTGGTGACATTAGTAGATGTGGGATTCGTGGCCATGACCTGCTTTCTGCTGATCCTGACGTCCTACGTCTACATCGTCTCAGCCATCCTGAGGATCCGCTCTGCCGAGGGTAGGTGCCGGGCCTTCTCCACCTGTGCGGCTCACCTCACCGTGGTGGTCACCTACTACGTGCCCCTGGTCTTCATCTACCTGCGGCCGGGTTCCCAGGACCCCGTGGACAGGGTGGTGGCTGTTTTCTACACCACAGTGACCCCGTTCCTCAACCCCCTCATCTACACACTGAGGAACAAAGAGATGAAAGCTGCCCTGATGAGACTGGGGGGCAGGAGACTGCCTGGGTTGGAAGAATGAGTCTCCTGCCTGGGCACAGGACAGGGAGAGAGAGGGACTTGGAAATGAGCCTCTGGACTCCTGGTTTCTGGCTCTGGCAGGGGAGTGTCTCATGGTAAGGGCAAAGGGGCCTGGGAGTTGGGGAGGGTGGCCTGAGAGTCTCTCTGCCACAGACTCGCTGTGTGACCTTGGGCCAGTCCCTTGGCATCAGTCACCCCATGCAGGTCATTTTGCTACTACACGGCACGCAGGGCTGCGAGGCTAAGATTATCACCGCCTGGGAGGTTTCTGGCTCTGGCAGGGGAGTGTCTCATGGTAAGGGCAAAGGGGCCTGGGAGTTGGGGAGGGTGGCCTGAGAGTCTCTCTGCCACAGACTCGCTGTGTGACCTTGGGCCAGTCCCTTGGCATCAGTCACCCCATGCAGGTCATTTTGCTACTACACGGCACGCAGGGCTGCGAGGCTAAGATTATCACCGCCTGGGAAGACAGGGCCGTCCTTTGGGTGTACAGGGCCCCTGCCCCACTGGCAGAGCAAGGGGGGCAGGGAATGGTGTTTTAGAGCTGTGGTTCTACACTCTTCAGCAACACACAAATGAAATGTGTTTCAATCATATTTTAAACCCAGGTCCTGTTGACTAACACTGGGGCTGGCACAAGCCTGTGAAATGGCTTCATGACCACGTGGCTGGCTCTGTCTCAGGGTCAGTGTCTGCTCCTGGCTCTGGCAGGCTTTGTCACTAGTGAGTTAACGAGAGCCTCTCTGGAGGAAACAGAGCCACAGACCAGGGAGAGGGAAAGGCGGGTGTGTGGACACTAAGGGTATGTCTAGACTACATCCCTCTGTAGCCAGAGCCATGTAAATTAGTCATACCGACATAGTCAATGAAATAGGGATTTAAATATCCCCTGTTTCATTAGAATAAAAATGGCTGACACGTTTTGCCAGCTCAGCTGTTTGTCGGCACAAACCGGCAGTCAAGACAGGGATCGGTCAGCAAGGAAAGCCTTTGCCGACCGATCCTGTAAACCTTGTTGCACGAGGCATAAGAGATCAGTCAGCAAAGGCTTTCCTTGCCGACCGATCCCCCTCTTGGCTGACGGTTCATGCCGACAAACAGCTGAGCCGGCACAATGCGGTGGCCATTTTTATTCTAATGAAGCGGGGGATATTTAAATCCCCATTTCATTGATTATGTTGGTATGTCTAATTCACATGCCTCTGGTGACAGAGGCATGTAGTCTAGACATACCTTAAAATCCAGCAGTGCCCCAAACTTTCCAGCACTCTACACTGTGCAGGTGGGTATGGACAGGTCTGTGGGAGGAGGCTGCAGGTAAAGGAGCCAGAGGAAAAGGCGTTCTGGCAGCTGCAAGGGCTCTGACCCCGGCACTGGCGGTGCAGGGCTGGGAGTGGTGTGTTCGATCTGTGTTGGGCCCTGCTCCGTGCCATGGTGCTGATGTACCAAGGCAAGAAGATGGGAAACCACAGAATCTGAAGCTCATCTAAGAAGGGACCTTGGGGCAGGATCCAGGTGTTGGCCACCCGATTGCTGAGTGTTGCTTCGCCCAGCGCACTAGCCCAGCCTTTGGAGCTGTCCAAGCTCTTCACCTGCTCCAATAAAAAGTCTGTCACCACATGGTTGTGTTTTTGTAACCCTCCCCCCATATGCCACATGCTCTTGTGTCTTGTCTCGGATTGGAGTGCCCTGCCTTCCAGGCCCCGCGGTCTCCGCATGTCTCTGTATGGCGTGGTACGTGGCATTCAAAGCAGCGTGTGCAGAAGACACAATGCACAGGCAGTGCAAACCCAAGGATGTTGTGTTGATGAGCGTAGCCATCACACCTCAGTTCAGTCTTCTATTCGCATTTTTTCTTCCTTCCGTCATTTGTCTTCTGAGCTCTCAACAGTGGGTGACATTTACAGAACCTCCTCGTTGATTTGGGAGACAAAGTCCCGTTTGCAAAGGCCATGCAGGAGCCCAGTTCTCACAGGAGTTCTGTGCAACGGAGGCGCCCAACGGCCTGCTGGTGAAGGGAGCACCACCACCGAACAGGCACAGATGGGCACTAGTGGGATTTCCCAATGGACCTGGGTGTTTAGCCCCAACTTCTTGTCACAGTTCTCAGTGACTGCGTCTATATTTCTCCCTGGTGGTCTACCAGGGGCATGTCCCTCAGGCTCCCTCCTCCTTAGCTATCATTGCCTTTCTTGGGTGCAGACCATGGCTCTCTCCAGGCCCGGGGAGGGGGGAGGGACAAAGAGAGCAATTGCCCCCTTGCCTGGTTGACTAATATGGTGCCACCCAGGTGTTTTCACATAGCGCAGCTGTAGCAGCCTGGCAGTGTCTGTGGGAGCCCCGGAGCTTCCTGCCCCTTGTAAAACCCTGGAGGGGTCAGGGCTAGGCCAAGAGCGGAGGGGAGCAGGCACTGGGGTTGGGGGTTCTGAGGCTGGGCAGCAGGGTTGGCACAGAGGGGAGTGGGGTGGCCCAGACTGTGGGTGTGTCTGTGGGCTGAGGTGGGCTGCGAGGGGGTACAGACAGGAGGGGAACCAGCCCTGCGGCTGGATCTCTGTGGCTGTGGGTCCGGGGGGAGGGGGTGGATTGAGGCAGGGCAACCCACGCTGTGGGGGTGTTTATGACTGAGAATGGAAACAGTGTGTGTCACAGAGACCTGAGAGAACACTGTCCCCCAGAGCCCTCCCCCAGCTCCTCACACCCAGGCCCTGCTGGGCTTGGAGGCCAGGCCCAGGCTGCCTGATGGTGGAGGGCCAAGGGGGCATTTTCCTGGAGCCTGGGTGATTTAAAGGGGCCTGGGACTCCTGCAGCCACTGCCCTGAGGGGTTCTTAGGCACATGCCCACATCCCCCACAGGCCGCAGAGCAGCTCAGCCGGCTGGTGGGGCATGCTGCTGGTGTGTGCTGGGGCAGGTGAGTCAGAACTGCCGCAGAGCCAGGGTTAGGGCGAGTGAGTGGGGAGGGGAGAGTCAGGCTGGGAAGGGAAGGAGGACGCTAAGCTCTGGGTCTAGAACCAGGCATGGGGCTGTGGGGATCAATGGGGGAAGTGGAACTGGCCTATGAGTGGCTGGGAGGTGCCAGGCTGGGAAGGGAAAAGAGCAGAGGGGTGGGGCAGAGATAAGAAGGAGCTGAGGGGAGCACGAGAGTCACAAAACCTTGTAGGGGAGGGGCAGAGCTGGCTGGGGGTGGCCGGGGGCAGAGGGGAAGGAGCCGAGCTGGATGCAGACGGAGTGGGGGGTAGATCTGGGCCACGAGGAGGCCAAGCTGGGTATAGGACCCCCCCAGGGGGTGGAGAGGGAAGGAAGGTGGGAGGAGATTGTCTGGACAGGTGGGGGTTGGGGCTGTGACCCATCAGCACATTCTCTGATTGAGGGGTGGCACTTGGGTTTCTCTGGGTTGGGGGAGGGGATTTGTTGTTCCCTCTGAAGGAGGGGCACAGGGTGGCTCATTTATTGTGCTGTCTTGGGGCCCGGAATTCCTGCCGCTGGGCCTGGCTCTCTCCCACCTGATGGAGGCTTTTCTAGGCTGAAGAACTCCCTACCCTGCATTATTTCATCAACAGCTGGTCTGTCTGTTTCTCCTCTCCCTCAGGGCCTGGCACGGTCTCGCTGCTCCCGTTTGAGCTCACATCATTTCTCCTAAGCAAGCACATTTTATTCTTAGAGTAAAAGCAACACAGAGAGCCCCTATTCCCCTAGTTCTAAAAAACCGTAAAAATTAAAAGAAGCGACATGCTGACCCAGCTCCCACCGGCTCCACCCTCCATGAATTAGCTCTTCAGACCTCTCCCTGGGTGCCTTGCATGGTCAGAAGCTCATGAGAGCCAAAGGGTCAAGTTACCTCCAGGACCATAGGCTTAGTCCCTCCTTTGAGTGTGCATGGGAGGGGGGCAGGGAGGGAGTTGATCTGGAGTTTGCAGGATCAGGAGTGAATGGGTTTGTCTTCCTGGGACATCACTTGGAGAGGCCTCCCAAGAACCTCCTGGCCCCCTTCCCACACTGCCCCAAACAAGCCTGTGAAGTCCCCCCATCCCCCAATGTTGCCGTAGTCAGCGACTTAGAAAAGTGACGCCCAGTGCACAAGACCACGGACACAGGGCCAGATTCTGAAAGGGGCTCTCAGGGGTGCTGCCCCTAAAGCTCTTGGGTGTGGGGGAAGGGAAAGCTCTGTCTCTGTGCTTGTCTGCCGGCCAATGGGAGCAATGAGGGGTGATGCCAGTGTGACGTAGTGAGGGTACCTTGCTGGTTGCTAGGCTTGGGTTGTGAGTGACCCCTACTGGCTGCTGTCTGTACCACGGCCCAGCTGAGCAGCTGATGAGACAGGGAGGTGACCTGTCTGACCAGTTACCTCCCAGGGAGAGGAACAAAGGAAGGTGGAATGCCGCCCCTGGCTGGGGGGCAGGGCTGGAAGTGAGTTAGTTAGTTTTGGTCTGGGAAGCAGGGGGGAAGAAGTTAGGGAGGGGGCTGGGATTGTAGGGCCCAGCCACCCCCTTCTCAAGGGGGGAGGGGGATTGAGGCCTCCTAGCCCCAGTTCCTGTAACCAGATTACCTCTGTGCTGTGCTGTATCCTGGAGAAGCAATAAACTCCCTCTATTCTACTGGCTGGTGGAGTCTGTTCCTGCCACTATGGGGGTGCAGGAGGTGGGGGACCCCGATCCACCGCCACAGCCAACAAGAGCTGTTCCCCTCCCAAAGGGGAGCTGAGCCCGGTAAGCACCCTAATCCCCTACCAGCTCTGTCTGCTAAGCCTCTGGAGTGCATCCTTTGTAAGGCTGGGTATCAGTCTTTACAGGCTCAGTTGCTCCTGATGTTATGAGCTGGAATGAAGATGGGAATTAAAACAAAGACTTAGGAACCCTCCGGGGCCCCCTTTGAATCGGGGCCCCCTTTGTATCTCCACCCATGTAGAGGGGATCCCTTTGTTCTCCCTCTGGGAATGTGCCTCTCAAAATGGAGCTAGTCCCAGAAGCAAGTCACCTGTCCATGCACAACCCAGACCTTAGCAACCATGGCTCATATGCTGCTCCAGACATTTACAGCAAAGATCCTCAGATGTGGACTGGTACCGCCTGAGGTGCATTGTCAGTCAAGTTCTCCTATTCACTTGACTAGCCGTCCTTTCACACTGGATTGGCCAAGCCTGTCTCCCAGGAGCAAACATTGGAAAGACAATTACAAGGCCAATTCTCATAACTTCTAATACAAAAATGATCCAGGCATATGAACAGTATAAACAGAATCAGCAAA